CCCCAAAACCCCAAAACCCCAAAACCCCAGCTTAATGGAAACCCTAAAATATATTAAAAGCCATCAAGAATCGAATATGGAGAAATGGCGTCATTTTTCTAAGGCAGTAAAATAAAAATTTACCAACATTTAATAATAGGTAATTATTCTCACATTGTCGAGTTGATTTTTTCCAAAAACTTGTTCAGATTCTTTTGGGTTTACTCCACAGTTATAGATTACCATCTTTTCGAGACTTAATCTTAAATCTGACGAACTTGCTAATCCTTGTATTAAGTTCTCAAATTGGTCGAAGTCTTTTGCCCAATCACTTAAGCCAGTTGTTCCTGATCCTTCAAAACTTAGTTCCTGGATTTGGCAATTCGTAAGAGCGTTTGAAAAATTAGGAACACTTGGAATAGATAACTTGCAATATTTAAATTCCAAACGGCTCACATGCTTGTAAGCTGCCACCAGCCTCTTCAATTGGGGGAACCCAATGCTGAAGCGATAAAATATAACATCGCTGTTGACTTGATAACTGAGGTTTATCAGAGGGTTTAAGTAATTTGACCTGTTAAGAACCATTTTAGTACTGGATACAAACATGAGCGAATTAATTTTATTTGGGAATGAGGATTCTAAGAAATCTCCAAAATACCTATTCTTAGAATCAATATTCTTAGAATAAAACCGACATATATCAAAGAACTTGAGATATTTTAAACTTTTTGCAAACTTCCCATCTTCAAAATCTTCTAAATGAATGTCAACTCAACTTTTTTCTTGAAAATTTTCAGAGTCTGAATCCAACGGCTCAATTCCTTCTTTCACATCAAAAATATTATAGAGAATGTTCTGGATTCTGGCGATATCTTGTTCCTTAGTTTCTGTCAGGACAGACTTCTCTAGACTGCACAATTAGTAATGAAAAGAAGGGGAACCAATATCAGAATCCGTCAGAAAGTTACAGTTGGATTAGTTAAAGAGTATTAATTATAATATTTAGTAGTCTGAAGTCAGAATTATGAGAAGAAAGTGAAATCTTTTATTCCTGAAGCAGATTTTGTATGCATAAGGCTGAAAATTTTTTAGTTTAAGTAGGATCTTCTTGAACAAAAAAAATTTTCGATGTAATTATTAAAGAAGTTAATCAATTTTGTTCAAACATTATAATTTTTCAAATGTATAACAAATTAAAGAGTGAAAATTTAGAACACTATAAAACTAAGCTCTCGACTACCTAATATTTTGGGTGTGCTTTTCTTGTATAGATTTGGGATTATCTTCCATTTTATTATTATTTTATTTTCAATATTTATTCAGAGGTGTGGGGTTTTGGGGTTTTGGGGTTTTGGGG